CAACTTCACAGTGAAGACAGTTGGCAGGTACCACCTAAAGCAAGTAATCAAAGTGTCAGCAATAATGGGACAAATCAATGTGATGTGCCTCTTGACACAATGCACTGGGGATACAATGCCACTTTTATGGCATTCTTGCCCAAAATGGATTTAATCAAGAAAAAAACAAAAACTAAGGACATTGTACAAAATACCTGGCCAGTACGCACTGAGGCTGTGAAAGACAAAGAAAACATGAGGAATGGCTGGGCGAGGTGGCTCACACCTGTAATCTCAGCACTTTGGGAGGCTGAAGTGGGTGATCATTTGAGCCCAGGAGTTCGAGACTAGCCTGGGCAACACAGGAAGACCGCATCTCTACTAAAAATAGAAAAAGTAACTGGGCGGGGTGGCGTGCACCTGTGGTCCCAGCTACTTGGGAGACTGAGGTGGGAGGACTGCTTGAGCCCAGGAGATGGAGGATGCAGTAAGTCATAATCTCACCAGTGTACTCCAGCCTGGGGACAGCATGAGACCCTGTCTCAAAAAAGGAGAGGAGGGGAGGGGAGGGAAAAAGATGAGGAACTACTCAAGATTAAAGGAGACCAAGACCAAAGAGGTCTGACAATGAAATGCATGATTATTGGGTCCTGGACCAGAAAAAGGGAAATTAATGGGACAGTATTACCTTCTTGATTTTGTTAACTGTGGTTGTTATGTAAGATGTTAACATTCTCTGAGGAGGGCATGTGAGAATTTTTTGTCCTATTTTTGTAACTTTTTTGTAAGTCTAAATTATTTCAAAATGAAAGGTTGAATTATACTTGAAAACATATACATTGGAGATTAGGCTTTCTTCCAATACCCAGTGCCTGACACTGTAAAGCTGTGTGGGCTGACATATGTCAGGGCTCAATACACCCACATGGGGAGCGATCCCAATGTAGGAAGCCACTGGGGACCTTATTAGGGGCAAACTCAGGCCCTGAGATTTATAGACACAATTAATGATAACATTCAAAAGATGTAAAAATATCCCTGATGGGTTTCTAGGGAGGGTCACAGGCGTGCCACATCCGTCTTTCAGCCCCGGAAGGAGCTGTGTGCTTCTGAGACCCAGTCATGACCAGAGCGGCGAGAAATGCAGGCAGAAAACAGCGAATGCTCCTCACTCACTTGTCTTGGGATTCGATATACACGTAGAGATGAGGCTCAAAACACTTGGAAACAATGCCATGAAATGGATTGTCTGGGGCTTTAGGCTTCTTTGGCTGTAAAAACAAAGAAAAATAAATCCTATACCTGAGTGATCTTTGCAAATGTTCAAGAACTTTTTTAAAAACATAACTTCAAAGTTCACTCCTAAGTCACAGATAAGAGAGGACTCAATGTAACCCAACATGATAGCTTCACGATTCACCCTGGCAGGTGAACAAAACACCAGCTTTGTTAGCATCACCCACTTGCTCTGGACGGTGAAAGACATACTGTTACCTGGATAACATATGTATGTTGAATCTGGAAGCTCGTCATCATCTATCCGACTGGTGTTTTCCAGAATTTAAACCCTGGCTAATAACAGCACCTTGTATTTGTACAATGCTTTAGAATTTAAAAAGTGCTTTCACACAATCCAATTTTTGATAGCACTTTGATGCCAACTAACATGTTACCTGCTCCTCACAATAATCCTTCACGTAGGTATCATTACTACTATTTTATACCTCAAGAAATGAGGACTCAGAGGCTCTCTAACCTGCCCCAAGACATATGTAGAAGTCTGCTTTTCTTAAACGAGAACTCTATTATACCATTATTTTCCTGCAATGGTTCCCAGAATTTTTTGAATTCCATCAGTAAGAAAATGTAAGAAAAAGAAGGATGGAAAACCAATAGAGGGTTGTTAACTTTATTTTGCTACTTTCTATTCTTACCACAAGTTCCTAAAAAAATAAATAAATAAATAGTTTTTTTGTTTGTTTGTTTGCTTTTTGAGACAGAGTCTCCCTCTGTCAACCAGGCTAAAGTGCAGTGGCGCCATCTCAGCTCACTGCAACCTGCGCCTCCTGGACTCCAGGGATTCTCGTGTCTCAGCTTCCTAAGTAGCTGGGACTATAGGCACGCGCCACCACGCCGAGCTAATTTTTGTATTTTAAGCAGAGGTGGGGTTTGGCCAGGCTGGTCATGAACTTCTGGCCTCAAGTGATCCACCCACCTCCACCTCCCAAAGTGCTGGGCTTATAGGCATGAGGCACGGCGCCCAGCCAGAAAATCGTATTTTATACCCTCAAATTTTATAAGAATAAAATAGCAGCATATTGGCAGTACGTTCTAAGAAAGGACAGTTGGTAACCTTACATCAGATAGATAGAGAGAGAGACACACACACAGGCAGGCAGGCAGACTATACTGTCTTTATTTTTTTCCTTTAGGCCACTGCAATACTAGACAAGCACTGGTTTCCAGGCTGTTACTTGGAAGCCACTGATAAAGAAGTCATACGACAGGCAAGTATTTTAAAACTACATTTGCTACTTAATTCCTTTCTAAATATCTAAAAAAAAAAAAAAAAAAACACAAAGATTTTCCTACATATTACTTTCTATTCCTAAAAAACGTGAATTCTGTCTGTTGCCAAATGTCCACAAAATGACCCTGAGCCAAACACACCTTGCTGGGGTTGATACTAGAATATAATTTGTATGTAAATTGGCACCCACAACATACTTGTTAAATTGAACTACTCATATCTTATTTTTTTTAAACCCACTTATTGAGGTATGATTGACATTTTAAAAGCCCTACATATTTAATGTATACATTTCGATGCATTTGAGGTTAAGTATACACCCATGAAGCCCTCACCACCATCAAGGCAGTAAGTGTATCCACCACCTCCTCAAGCTTCCTCCCACCCCTGTTGTTATTATCACTTGTGGTAATAATACTTGCCGGGCGTGGTGGCTCACGCCTATAATCCCAGCACTTTGGGAGGCTAAGGCAGGCAGATCATGAGGTCAGGAGTTCAAGACCAGCATGGCCAATATGGTGAAACCCCGTCTCTACTAAAAAAATACAAAAATTAGCTGGGCGTGGTGGCGGGTGCCTGTAGTCCCAGCTACTTGGGAGGCTGAGGCAAAGGAATCGCTTGAACCCAGGAGGCAGAGGTGGCAGTGAGTCGAGATCGCACCACTGCACTCCAGCCTGGCGACAGAGTGAGACTCCATCTCAAAAAAAAAAAAAAAAAAAGAATACTTAACATAAGATCTACCCTCTTGAACTGCTTATATATTTTAATAAATACTGGAGGAGATAAGCCCCAATGACAGACAGAAATGATAACTACCTATTTCTGGTCTTTTTTATTATTTTTTTAAATAACACATTGCAATGGTAAAAAACATCTGTAAAAACTGATTTGTAAAAAATGATCACCAAAACTTAAATGTCAACTTTAGATAGACCCACTCAATCTTGTACTTAACCCTCTTCCCTTTTTACCTTCCAGGAGTTCCATATCTTTCATTTTTTGGCAAGGTTTCTAGAAACTCTGGTCCTTCCTAAGAATAAATACAATCTGCACTGTTTACTCTTATCATCTGGAAACCACTGCCATAGCCAGGCCTTGGACTGAGCCCACAGTAGGGCCTGGGGGACCACACAAGCCTGGCTGATTGAGCTTGAATCTGCCGGGTCTAGAATTCCACTTGAGTGCACAGATGTCCTGGGAGTTTTTTGCACTTCCATTAGTTCAAGATGAAGGATCTATGATGGAGGATGAGGACTATGAGGGGTGTCCTCACTCGCCCTGTTTTTTCCAAGTCAGTATCTACCTTTCATTATTGATTCACTAAGATGATTTAAGTGAACAGAAAAATGTGATTTAATTTATCTAACTCTATAGGACTAGATATCATGGATTTAGATTTGGAAAACATGGCTTCTACAAACAGATATCTTTTTATTAATTAAATAATAATGATAAGCATTATGGCTATTCTTTTCATTGAATTTTTTTCTTCTTTTGAAGAAAATATTCACATTCTGCAGGATGACTTCTGGTAATTATACATGTGAATTTACATAATACAGAATGTTACCATTTAAAAAAATCAACATGCATATTTTGCTTTTTTATTTTGAACATGTATATTTTGTATTCAGCTTTACTGACTTGCTAATTTATGTGTACTTTCCCAACTGCTGACAATATTTTATCACTTTAAAATGGCTACATTATGAAACTCTTAAAAAGCCTATAGATTATATAATATTACTGTAATGATGTTAAATTTTCTGATTTTGATCTATGGTAATATAAGTGAATGTCTTTCTTCTTAAGAAATACCTACTAAAGTTCGTGTCCTTTGTAGGGACATGGATGCTGCTGGAAACCATCATTCTCAGCAAACTATCGCAAGAACAGAAAACCAAATACCGCTTGTTCTCACTCATAGGTGGGAATTGAACAATGAGATCACCTGGACACAGGAAGGGGAACATCACACACCGGGTCCTATTGTGGGGGGTGGGGGGAGGGACAGCATTAGGAGATATACCTAATGTAAATGATGAGTTAATGGGGGCAGCACACCAACATGGCACATGGATACATATGTAACAAACCTGCATGTTTTGCACATGTACCCTAGAACTTAAAGTATAATAAAAAAATTAATGAATTAAAAAAATACCTACTAAAATATTTACGGGTAAAGGACATTATGTCTACAACTTACAAATTGTTCTAAAGGTCAGGGGGGAGTGGGGGGAAAATGATAAAGTTATATAGGAAAATGCTAACAATTGCTGAATCCAGAAGAAAGATATTTAGGAGCTCCTTGTAACTTTTCTCCTAGTTTGACATTATTTAAAAAAGAAAAAAAGTAAAGGATAACGACAAAAAACTTGGAAAATGGGTACCAACGGCCTGATGGAAAATTCCAGAGACCGCAATGGAGCCATCTTAAGAATGGCACATCGTCAACACCACACGGGCTGGGGGGCAACACTGTGTGGGAGGCAAAGGCACTCCTGCCTCGGCGAAAAAGGGGTTTGGATCAATCTCCTGGTTTGATGATGCACTCTGGGGTCCCCCGGAGGAAGCTGAGAGATGGGAAGGGATCTGGATCAATTTCCTGGTTTGATGTTAGCTGCCCCTGGAGGAAGCTGGGAGATCAGTACACTGTACCTCACTGACTAGGTTTATAATTTATGAGCCCATAATTATTTCAAAATATAAAGGTTTTTAAAAAGTGGTTCAGAAGATGTGGGCCTGCATGTGAAGAAGTTTTATAAATATCTTTATTTATTTTGCTTATAGTTTCCTTTTTATGTATACACAAAAGTGATATATGATTGGAGATAAACTATGTTGGAATAAGTTTGAAGAACTCATCTGGTAAGTATAAAATACAGATTCTAACTGGGAAAAGAAACTGGCTATATAATTCCAACAAACTCATCTTGATCAGTCTGCCACAGGCCCTGCCCTTGATGAGGCCCCACAGGACACTCAGAAAGCTGCACGACCAGGCAGCGCCAGGGTTCCACCTCTATCTGCCTGCCCTCCCCACCAACAGCACTCTTCCGCAGTGCGGAGGGACCCCTGACCTTGCCACCACAGCACCTAGGTCGTCCTCTTGCAGCCTTTCTAGTGTGAGCTGAAGCAAGAGAGGAATAATGGGAGAGATTGCCTACAGTTTCCTTTTTCCTTACTTTTTTCCTACAGGGCTGCCTCCTGCCTATGGCTGTGTGATGAACGTGCTCAGTTTAGATAATATGTGCTGGAATTTCGGCTAACTGGCGTCTCCCTTTGCACCACGCAACTCCCCAGAGGGTTGATTCTCAGCTTAAACACTACACTAAGTCATTTAGCAGTAGCGTTTGGGCCAGGTTCTGAGTGTGTGAATTCCGCCCAAAAGCTGCACATGTTTAAGCTATTTCCTCCTGGAGTTTGGTGGAATAATAAAAGGTTACTGTTGTCACAGTGAGGAGGTCTGCAGCTGGTCCCATTTCCTTTTATTACTACCCAATGTAAACAGATTAAATCGAACTGCTTGGGTCACCAGAAGGGACATTCCTTATTTCTTCTCCTTTCTGTTATACCTTCAGTGTCCCTCAGGCCCCTTTCCGATTTCAATCTTTATCATTGGGAATATCTTGGCAACTGATTGCTCGGGCCCTCTTGTAAACTAAATACCTTTTTTCATGTTCCCTCTCTCTTCTCAGCAGCCAGGCGTAAACTGCAGTAGTGAGCAGGCTGTGACCCTTACCTTGAGAGCCACATGGCTACTGACTGCAGCCATGGAATGAGTTAGGTCACCCACGGAGCCAGCAGGACCTTCCCTCCAACCACCTTGGGCTGATTTCACCACTAACATCTGGTGGGGTCCCTCCCCGACCCCAAGGGCTCTGCTCTTGTTGTATACCCCACTCTGGGAAGAGGGAGACCCTGGGGCACCCACCTAATCAGCCACCAGCTAGGCCAGGGCCGGTGAGGCAGCAGGAGGTCAGGGATGGCATGGGTGGAGGCATTAGTCACTGGCACTGGCATATAAGTTTTATTACTAATGAGTAATAGCCCATGAAATGGCAAGTAGATCACCTAGATCAGGGGTTTAGTTGTTTCTTTTGAGATGGAGTCTCGCTCTGTCGCCCAGGCTGGAGTATAGTGGTGCGATCTCAGCTCATTGCAACCTCCACCTCCCGGGTTCAAATGATTCTCCTGCCTCAGCCTCCCGAGTAGCTGGGATTACAGGCGCCCGCCACCGCGCCCGGCTAACTTTGTATTTTTAATAGAGATGGGATTTCACCATGTTGGTCAGGCTGGTCTTGAACTCCTGGCCTCAGGTGACTGGCCTGCCACAGCCTCCCAAAGTTCTGGGATTACAGGTGTGAGCCGCCGTGCCTGGCCATTTTTTTTTTTTTTTAATGACATAAAATCCCTGGTTCAAAAAAATGTTTTATCTGAAAGCCCACGATACAAAATGACTCACAATAAAACTGCTCTGATCGCAGGATCTAGGTCCCTAGCCGCCTCCTAACGTCCACAGTGACATCTGACGGGGCACCAAGGAACACAGTTTGAAAACCATTAGCTCTCACTGAAGGCAAACTGGGGAAGTCTAAAGAGAGAGAATAACCTACCTAAGGTCACATGGTCGGTCAGCTAATGGCCGACAAGAGTCCGACATTTTCCCAGCACGTGGCTCTGCTTTACCCCAGGTACTGGTCAGGTGTCAGTGTTCTGTGTTCTTAGAACGAGCAGGTCTTGGTCCGTACAATAGTAACTTTAAGCTTCCATATGAGGAAAAAGTTCCAAGAAAAAGGAAAATTGTATTTTACCTGGCAAAACTGATTGTGTAGGGAATGGGGCCTCTCTATCTTAATCCAATTGAATAACATCCAGAGATGACTAGCGAAAGGAGTAACTTTTCCTGGCAACACTAGAAGCATCGGAGTGTTTAACTGCACAATTTCGGACATGACCATGGCAGCCACTAGCACTGGTGAGACAACAGGGCTCTGCAAACGGCTCTCCTGCGCAAAGCATGCCCACAGGGCCCAGGTGGCCCTGTGTGGATGGAGGACACACCAGAAGGACGGGCTCTACACCCAGAGCCTTCTTTCCACCCTACTCCCTGCTTCCAAAATGCAATTGAGAACTGCATCTAATTAGTTACAAGAAACTGTTCATTTTCTCCCGTGCCAGTCAATACAATGATGGCTTTAAATCAACTGCATCTAATCCTATATATACATCTCCAGGATGGAGCCTCCTCAAGATGTCCCATCAGTTTTGTTCATTTACTTCTATTCCTGAGATTCAGTTCTATGTCCTCGACTCCAACGAGACACGAGTGTATCAACAAAATAGCACTGGGAAAGGATTTCTAGGTTCTGACATTGAGACCTGGCTTCCAGTTTAAGCTCCTCCACTTCCAAGCTATGCAACCCTGGGCCAACCACTTAATCTCTCTGAGCTGCAGTTTCGTCACCTATAAAGCGAGAGGCAGGAATTGTGAAGATGACATAAAGCATGTGAAAGAATTTAAAAGTGCAAAGGACTATAGAAGTGTGAGTATCCATTCTATTACATCGTTTAATCAAGGGACCAGACACATTTGATTGCATCATTTCAGAACTGCTCCTGGGAGCTCTGCTCTCTGGGCTCCTGCCCTCACGGTGCTGGGAATGAATGAATGAACGCAGGGCTAGCTGCAAAGTGCACGGCTGCAGGTTTCCCAGAGCTGGTCCTCCCAGCCAGCCTCTCTTTTGGTGGTGTCTGGAGCGAAACAACACCATACAATAATCCTCCAGCAGTCAAGTGTAGAAAATTAAAAAGAGGGATCACTAATCTAGAAGGGAAAAGTTCTGATTTATTGCTCTAACCTCCCTTGTCATAACATGGCAGTTAACCAAAAACACCATTCTGTAGGATGAAGGGAGAGGAAATTTAGACTTGGACAGAAAACTCCAAAGGAAATTAAAGTGTTAGTGTGCTCTGAAAAGTAACTCTCCAAATATGCCACTGGCCACCGTGATATTTCCAGGCCTCCCCAGCGGCTTCCAGACCTAAAGTGATCAGCTCACTGCGTGGAGGCCTCTCCTAGCCGAGGGTGCTGCGGGCTTCCCGGGGCTTGTTCAGCCTCTCACATCACCACTGTGCCAGGCGACAGTCAAACTGAAAACTGAGCTGACAAGTTCAGGAGATGCTGAATGAGGCAGAGGAGAACTCTTCTGGCCCCAGCCAGTGGCTAATGAAGCCTGCGTGTGTCCTGGCGGCCGGGCTCTGCAGGAGCAGAGATGTGGGGCAGGGAAGTCTGCCCTTTCGTGGAGTTTTCTAAATGCACTTTCAGATAAAGGCCTTCTGTAAAGACCACCACAGCTGTCAACTCTGAACGTGGCCAACAGTCAAAGGATCGTATCTGGAGCAAGCGGACCCATTTTCAGAAACGCACATGAGGCGGTCACCCGTGGTGATGCAGACCAGACTTACTTGATCTAAATCCCCTTTCTCCGTTGCCAGTTCCTCCGTCTCTGGTGTTGGCTCATCTTCCAGGAAGGGATTGGTAGATGGGGGTGGAGACTCAAGCTTTTTCTGTTAGGTAGATACGAGAAAGAGAGGTGTTTTCTGAGCATGTTCAATAGCGTTCCCCATTGATCTGCTTTCTCCAGGTGTCTCCAACAGCTAGTCATGCACTCTGATCTAATAAAGAGCTGAGGCAACCCAGACCACATTCTTACCTCCAGGCCTTCACTCTGCTTTCCCGTCTTCCCAAAATCCCCCTGACCACCCGGCCCCAACTCGAATCTGGCTAAAACGCTCACACATCCTCAGTCCTCACACTGGAACTCCATTCTGCTGGGAAGTCTTTCCCACCTGTCAGGTTTGGGTCAGACGTCCCTGACACGTGTTCCCAAACCATGCTACATGCCCCCTACCCAGGCATTTACTAAAATACGGCAGTTGCCCATTATTTGTCTTGTCCCTTCTGGCCTCCAGGATGCCAGAGATTATGTCTGTCTTGTTCCCCATCCTATCTCGGTGCCTGGCACGTAGCAGGGCCTCAGTAAACAGAAACGAATCAAAGTGCCAGATGGATTTCAATGCAAGAACAAACTACAAAGCTAATCTCATGTGTTCCAGATTAACAGACGTCTCTTCCCAAATAAGCCCCATTACAACAACCACAACAGAAATCTCCTTGAGAAAATCGACTTCTGAGCTTCCAAATATGACCACTATTTCAAAATGCATCACTGAGTAGGAACCAGGGGCCAGCGGGAAGGCTGTAGGCAGGAGGCGTGGCAGCTTAGCTCCAACCGTGCGGCACTGGCCCTACCACCCAGCTTCCCTGAGCCTCAGTAACTTCATCTGCAGAATGAGGGTGCAATCACAGGACTATCTGGAGGATCAAACGTGAAACCCAGAAGCAGTACAGGATCCATACAAGGGTCGCTGACGACGTCAATTCCAGTACAACTACAGAATCAAGGCAGCTCTCTGGAATTCCTTTACAGTTTTCACCTAGAGATGTTGTTTATGCCTGGGAGGCGAAGGCTTTAGCAGAAAGGAGGCCAAATGGACAAACAGAAAAGAGGGACTGCTTGGTGCTGGGGATGAGGGAATGGGGCAAGGCATGGCTCTCTGGAGACAAAAAGTTAATGGAGAGGGAGTTTCGAAATGTACTTGGTATTTTAGCCAACACCAGTGGGTCGACTTGAATTAATCCCTAAGCCAAAAGGGACAGCAGATGGACTATAGCGTGAATAACTTTGCCAAGTGCTACGACACCATCTGAAGATATTACAAACAAAAAGTAAAACCAAAACTTACACAAAGTCTGGGCGCAGTGGCTCACGCCTGTAATCCCAGCACTTTGGGAGGCCGAGGCGGGCGGATCACTTGAGGTCAGGAGATCAAGACCAGCCTGGCCAACATGGTGAAAGCCTGTCTCTACTAAAAATACCAAATTAGCAGTGTGGTGGCAGGTGCCTGTAATCCCAGCTACTCAGGAGGCTGAGGCACAAGAATTGCTTGAACCCAGGAAGTGGAAGTTGCAGTGAGCTGAGATGGCACCACTACACACTAGCCTGGGTGACAGAGCAAGACTCTGTCTCAAAAATAAATAAATAAATAAATAAAAGAACATAAATACCTTGCACAAAAACACTACACCTGCGTCTGGTTTTTGGTTTACAGTCATTTAAACTGCTTATTTGTTGGCCAAAACACTTGGATGCAATTGATGTGGACAGATACGGCCTCGGTGCACGACAAAGCCTTGTGGTGACGGAATTAGCTCGAGGTAATCAGTAGTAAGATGATGATTTTTGTGGTATCTTGGTGAGAAACAATATGGTCTAACACCCAAGCAAGTATTTCACATTTGCACACTCCAAACTTTGGCTTCTTTACCTAACATGAGAGAAAAAAATCCTTAAAAACTTAGAGCTCTTTTTAGAATGCAATATTTCCAAGCTTAAATTGTCTTCTTAAGGGCTGCTTTTAGAGAGAGACAGGAATAGTAAGAAAGGGAATCTACCAAGCTTAATCTTCAACAACCGTAAAAAAGTTAAGTTAGGTAACAGCATTAGCTTCCTGATTCCACTGGCTTAACAGCGGGTTCTGGGATGATGCTGATGAGCTGAGTCACTGTGATTCCAAGTCTTCTGGTCCCTTGTAGATGTGAAAAGCTAGTCAGCTGACTGAAGATAAAAGTTTTGCTCAAAATCATTCAGTGACAGACACAGAATCTGAGTTTTTGAACTAAATGCCCCTCATCTATTGCTAAGTCTATTGGGTTGATAACAGCACCTCACAATTACATAAAGGTGGGCCTCATTTTTAAAACGTAAGGTGTGATTGGAAATCATGGCAAACAGCAGATGTCAGTGAGGTGGACTGAGGATGTTCCTGGGCTTTACTCTCGCTGGCATAAAGCATCAAGAAAACGGAGAAGGTAGGAGGAAGTCACGGGCAGCTCCGAAGAAGCAGGCACCATCTGAGGCAGGGTGAGCGTGGGCCACTCGCTCAGTGTCACCATCTGGGGTAGGGTGAGTGCGGGCCAACCTCAGCCTCCCAAGTAGCTGGGACTACAGGTGCGCATCACCACACCCAACTAATTTTTGTATTTTTTGTAGAGATGGGGTTTTGCCATGTTGCCTGGGCTGGTCTCAAACTCCTGACCTGAAGCAATCCATCCGTCTCAGCCTCCCAAAGTGCTGGAATTATAGACGTGAGCCACCGTGCCCGGCCTCTATTAACATTCTGATGAAATGAGGGGAGTTGTGGACACCAAGGAGCTCCTAGCTCACTCATATGTGGCACATACATTCCACATGTGGACCACGTTAGTACAGGAAAAGTGATTGATTCCTCCCCTCATCCACTCAACAAAGGGATATGCTGGGCCCTAGGAGTAGAGCAGTGAGAAAGACAGGCCAGCCTCAGCCCTCACGGAGATTAGAGTCTGCTGGGGGAGACAGCCTTCAATCCAACAGTCACACAAACGGTGAGAAGGGCCATGAAGGAAAAGCGGTCATCATGGAAACGTGCAACAGAGGGCCGCAGGAGACTTCCCTAAAGAAAGGACGTCTGAGCCAGAGCTGAAGGATGCCTCAGAGTTAAATATGTGAGGGGTGGAGGGCGGAGGGAACAGCATGTGTCTGCCACTCACTCAGCAATGATGTACTGGGCATCTACTCTGCTCCAGGCACTCTCGGGCGCACCAGGGATGCAAGTGAGGAAGACGGATTAGAGGTGGCGCTGCAGTGGTGAGGGGAAAACTCAGGGAGTGGGATGAGCTGGGGATGAGGGTGGGAAAGTGCGTCTACACGGGGTTGTCAGAAAAGGTCTCTGAGGAGACGACGGCTGAGCTGAGTAAGAAGGAACTGCTCAGGCAAAACCCAAGGAAGGGTGTTCTCAGCAGGGAGACCTGGTGGAGATGCTGGAAAGCACTTGCTGAGTCTGAGGGACAGAAAGGAAGACGGGGGCCTGGGGTAAGAGGGGTGGGGCCTGGGGTAAGAGGGGTGGGGCCTGGGGTAAGAGGGGTGGCAGCAGCCCCGTCACGCAGCCTTTTGTGGGCCATGGTAAGGGTCGGTTTTCTTCTCACTGCAATTGGGCAGTCGCTGGTGGTTTTCAAGAGGGAAGTGATGTGATCTAATTTGGATTTTAAAAATAGTCCACTGCTGTGGGGGAACGGATTATAGTGACAGCAGGAAGCCCAATTTAAGAGGCTGCTACAGTGTTCCGGGAAAGGGCTGAGGGGGAACCGGACTAAGCTGGTGATGGAGGACAGAAAAAAGCGTCCGTCGGATTTGGGGCATAGTTAGGAGGCAGAGCCAGGAGGCTTTGCTGAGAGTGAGAACGAGGGTGAGGGAACGAAAGGAGTGAAGGGACACCCACTTTCTGGTCCAAGCAACTGCACAGCTGATAGTGCCTTAACTGAGATGGGGCATCCTCGTGTAGTGGCAAGGCACAGGCTCCGGATCTGACAGACCTGGGTTCGAGTCCAGGTTCCACCACCATGGGGTGTGCTGTTTAACTTCTAGCCTCAGTTCTCCTACCTGCAATGTGAAGGGACAGGAATACCCACCTCGTATGGCTGCCATGAGGATGGGATGAAGCGTGCGCGGCAGGAGTGAGCGCCACAGTCACGTGCCACACCATCATGTTTCCACCCATGACGGGCCATGGTACGACGGCGGTTCCACTACATTATACTGGAGTCAGACGATGGAGTAGGCCAGGGTCTGCAACCCCTGGGCCACCAGTCCACGGCCCATAAGGAAACCGAGCCACACATCACGAGGTGAGCAGCAGTGAGCGAGCATGACCGCCTGAGCTCCGCCTCCTGTCAGGTCTCAGGCAAACCCTGCTGTGAGCCGCTCATTGGAGGGGTCTGGGTTGTGCACTCCTTATGAGAATCTAATGCCTGATGATCTGAGGCAGAACAGTTTCATCTTGAAACCATCCCCCGACTCCCCACCCCTAACTCCCACCCCCAGCCCCACCTGTGGAAAAACTGTCTTCCACAAAACCAGTCCCTGGTGCCAAAAAGGCTGGGGGCAGCTGGAGTAGGGTATAGCAGGCACACTCTACGAGGTTTGCACAGTGATGAAACTAACGATGCATTTCTCACAACATATTCCTGCCGTTAAGCAATGCGTGACTGAATATACGCGGCAGCTTAACGTGCTGTTGGCCCAGAGGGCAAGGCTCAGCAAGGGGGAGCTGTCAGCGGTGGTTAATAGGGTGAGCCAGGACATGAGGCATAACCGTTGTGCTTCTCTCAATACAGCAGCTCACAGGAGAGAAAGACGTGGGCGCGCAGCGTTAAAAGTCTTGTCAAAAGAATTTCTGTTAACCACAAGTGGAACCTTGTCCCAACTATTGTGTCTCTTTGGGATCTCTCTAAGAAATGAAAGCAAAGGGCCCATCAACTTTGCACTTTCTAAGTGGAAAGGCACACTGAGCTGCTCCTTTCTTCCCCAGTCTGCAACCACGCACGTACCGCCCACCTCCCTGTGGACAAAAGTCCCAAAACCCTCAGGTGTGGATACGCATTCCCGCGGTTTGGGGGCTACATGACTGCT